AACCCTAAACCCTAAACCCCGTTGAATACTGGCTCCATAGGGATCTTGGAAGGCGGCCAAGGTGGTTTTGGGGGGCAGGGGTGGGTGGCTTCAGGGTTTAGGGTTTAGAGTCTCGGGTTTAGGGGTTTACGGCTTAGGGGTTTCGGGTTTAGGGCTTGGGGATTAGGGTATGAAGGTTGCCCTAAACCCAAGCCACGAACGGGCTTAAAGTTTAGGGAACCTAGGCCCGATACTAAACCCTGATACCCCCTTTGTGGGGCGGGGACCCTAAACCTCCAATGTGTAGGTCAGGGTTCTGGGTAGTTATACTACAGCCGCGGTATGAACAACCCGAAGGAACGCATATTACAAAGTAATTTAAGCTCCTCTAGTCCACCCAAAAAACCCTAAACCCCTAAACCCTAAACCCTAGACCCTCGAACCCTAAACCCAAAACCCCTAAGCCCTAATCCTTGCAAGTCCCAACCCCAAGCTTGGCGCCCACAACACCTCCCCTTCCTCTCAGACACCTCAATACAGGGGCCTAAAAAGTTAGAACAGGGTTTTGGGGCCATTATACTATAATTATCAATAAACCCTAAACCCTGAACCCTAATTCTCAATATAGGGTCTCTAATAATCAGAGTAGGGTTCCTCGGAGGTTCCTTTCAACAGCTCCTTGAAACAGGGTTCCTTAAAGGGCTACTATAAGGGCTTAGGGTTTTAAGGGGCCTGAATAATTTTCAACAGGGTTTTGGGCCCCCTTATACTGTAACTAGAATAAGGAACCCCCACAAAATAAAATAGTATTGGCAAGTATTCAGGCATTATACTATAATTAGAATAAGGAACCACCCCACAATTTTATTCGTAAGCATTTAGGCCCCTACCTTAACTCTTCCTCGACCTGTGACTGGAAGTGCGAAGACCCGGTATCGGCATAAAAAGGCTTAGGGTTCAGAACTGAGGGCTCGGGGTTGCACTAAACCCTAAGCCCGAAACCATACACCACTAGGTTTAGGGCTTAGGGTTTAGGGTTTAGGGTTTAGGTTGTGCTAAACCCTACTTGGAGGTTCATGAACAGTTTAAAGGGGTTTATACGTCCCCTAAGTAGGGTTATAATACCTTACTTCTGACTTTACTTATAACTACCCATGAACCTCCAAGTAAGCCCGAAACCATGTTCAGGGCTTAGGGTTTAGGGTTGGTATAGGGCAGCAGCACCCATAGCGCACGGACCGGCCAGAGGGGTCCTGCAGGAGCGGCATGAGCTCTTGCAGGTACGGCTGCAACAAAACCTCGGGGCAATCAAGTTTCACCCACTCAGCCTGGTTTCAATGCCTGAATCATGAACCCCCTCCCTTCATAAGGATTCTAGTCAGGATCCAAGGCCCCTAAGCAAAGCGCCATAAGAACCCCCCAAAATTAAAATAGAGCCTGATAAACATCATGTAAGAACCCCATACAAGAACTACACCTGTCAAATCTCAAGCCTCAGCCCGGACCCTTAACTCCTACGAACCCGGCAAGAACCCATGAAGGCCCCGCTAAAACCCTGAACTGGGAAAGGCCCCCGTACCCGAAACCCTCTAAGCCCGACACCCTGAACTCGGTTTAGGGCTTAGGGTTTAAGATCCCATAGAGCCGCCATCGAGGTGCCAATCGGTTTGGGGGGGTTTAAGGTTTAGGATCAGCATCCCCTACTAGTCGCAGACTCGATGTAGGACAAGATGCCCGAAAACCCTACTCTAAATACTTAGGACAGTAAACTATACTAAGCCTTCCATAGACCCTTTACAGCGACCGTTTGAACGAGTTCCCGAAGCTCTAAACCCTGATCTGAAACCCTAAACCCTAAACCCTATTCTGGAACCCTAAACCCTAAACCCTAAACCCTCTTCTGAAACCCAAAAACCCCCTCAACCCTCTTCTGAAACCCAAGAAACCCTCAACCCGAATCTCAAAGCCCCGTAGCCGGGTCGGCGATCAGGTTCACGGACGCACCGACGATCTGCACTCCCTTCATTTTCGCCTCATGGGCCTCGCGCACTAACCTCAACAGCCTTAAAGGAGGGCTTCATATAATGGGTTTAGGGTTTAGGGCTTAGGGTTTAGGGTTTAGGTCGGATTCAGGGTTTAGGGTTTAGGGTTTAGGGTTTAGGGTGTAGGGTTTAGGGTTTAGGGCTTAGGGTTTAGGGTTTAGGGTTTCGGATTCAGAGTTTAGGGTTTAGGGTTTAGGGTTTAACGTTCAGGGTTTAGGGTTTAGGCGAGTGTCAGGGCATACAATCGGTAGCTAGAAACGGGTTTGGGACATTTTCTTTGCATTCTTCTAGGCTGTTTGGGCAGGTGTGGGAACGGACTCAAACCCGAAGTCTAAACCCCGAGACGTACGACGTAGGGCCTAGGCCTTGCTCATACAATATCATCATATTATGTAATATAATATGATATAATATAATCCAACATAGTATAATGTGGTACAATACAATCCGCTATAATACAATATAATATCGTATCATATCGACAGAGGCGTTAATCATTAAACTGGCTGACACGGCAAGCAAAGGGGTGGGGACGCCTTGGGGCTCGCGGCTGCTCTTTTTCCATGTCTTGCACATGGCCCTAAAGTAGAAGCCAGAAAGTTGGAACATGATTCTCCTCGTACCCACGGCTGAGGGTTTATGGTTTAGGGTTTAGGGTTTAGGGTTTAGGGATCCTAGCACTAATCATCCTAAATCCATGTTCCAACTTTCTGGGGTTCGCTGTATACCCTGAACCCAAAGCGGGTACTGCTCCGGTCCTGCTCGCGCATGGCCCGGGCGACGGTCGGGAAAAGCAGCGCAAAAGCGCAGGAGTCGACCTTCGATGACACATATACCCTAAACCCCAAACCCTAAACCCTAAACCCTTCTAATACTTTACTTTAGGGTTTATATAAGGTTGAGGAGATGCCCGAAGCTCCTAAACCTCGGGGATCTGTCAAACACGCTTATCCCCTTCATTCGGGGTGTCCACAGTGCAGGGACCCAATATTCTTTGGGATCTACTTGGAGGCCCAGGGGACTCAGTAAGTCGGTTATAAGTAGGGTTATAAAGTTATAATTGGGGTAACTCCAGTTAGGGTACTTATAGCTCGACTTATAACCTACTTACTAAGTCCCCTGGGCCTCCAAGTATACTTGAGTTTTCAGGGGTGGCGGGCGGTAAGGGTCGACCTCAAACGAATTATGATGCGAGGTCTGGGCAATGTGAACCGATAACCCTCACCTATCGAGTCTGGTCGCGCATCCAACCAAACTAGCAGCAGAGACATCATAAACTCAACATAGACCCATTTACACTGCTAGGCTTTGGGGTTTGGAGTTCGGACAGGGCCAGCGGAAGAAAGGGTGGCGCACCTGGACTGGACGCCCATACCACCTTGACAAGGCGAATAGTACCACTTACTGCGGGATAACCCTAAACTCTAAACCCCAAACCCTAAACCATAACCCCTGAGCACCCGGACCTCAAAAGCCCTAAGCCCCAAACTCCCCCAAACCCCAGAACCACAAAACCCGAAAACCGCATGAAACTCAATGAAACCAAGCAAAGATCATATAACATCTGCTAGACTCCTAGACCCACACAAAAAACCCTGCGAGTACGCAAAAAAAGAAGGAAAATGAAAAGAGCTCAGACCTTGTCGCCAGAGTCGCCGTGTTCAGGAAGGTCGTGTTCGCCATGCGATGGAGGGTTTCTCCGGCCTTCTCCATGTTGGCGCTATCCTTGACGGTGTGGGGGAGGCGGGGTTTAGGGTTTAGGGTTTAGGGGTTTAGGGTTTAGGGTTTAGGGTTTAGGGTTTAGGGCTTAGGGTTTAGGGTTTAGGGTTTAGGCCCTGGTT